AAAGAGGTCTATGGGGGGGAAGAGGGAGGCATATGTAATACTTTCAATAAAGATTATTTAAAAAAAAAGGAAGAAACTAGAAATAATGTGACAAGCCGGTCTCACTGGGGAGATTGAAGGCACCCCAGCTCTTTCCAAATTCCTAGGATTGCGGCCATCGGCCCAGGGGAGCCATTCCGACGCGTCCCGAGTCCCCGAAGCCAAGAGCCTTATTTAAAAACAAACGCCCGATGTCGGGGAGCCCGGCGGAGCCGCACTTCCGACCAGGAGGGCACCGTGTGGTCTCCGCGCCTGACTATAAAAGGCAGAGGGATGCGGCCGGGGCACGTGACCCCTTTCTAAATAAAGCTCCCCCACTCAGGGACAGCTGACCGTCCCGGGAGGGGCGGGGGCAGAGAGACAAGCTCTTACGGATCACACAAAGCCAGGCCCGCCCGACTGACCCTCTTCGCTTCCCGGAGCCGCAGGCCTCTCTGGGCCCCGCCCACACACCTGCAGGCCCCCACCCTGACCCGTGGCATCGGCAGGGCCCCGGCCTATGGGAGCTGGTTACATTTCATAAAAAGGAACACCCGTCCCAAGGTGCTTTAAATTTAAAAAAAAAAAAGGGGAGGAGAAATGTTAAGATGAAATAATGGCCCTGGCCGGTGTAGCTCAGTGGCTAGAGCGTCAGCCTGTGGGCTGAAGGGTCCCGGGTTCGATTCTGGTCAAGGGCCCGTGCCCGGGTTTCGGGCTCGATCCCAAGTAGGGGGCGTGCAGGAGGCAGCCGATCCATGATTCTCTCTCACCATTGGTGTTTCTCTCTCTCTCTCCTCCTCTCCCTTCCTCTCTGAAATCAATAAAAATAAAAAAAATTAAAAAAACACACACAACGGGACTCAGTTTAGCAGCAAGGCACTGGATTATCCGAGAAAAAATGGGGGAGTCAGGGCCCCCACTAGAACTCAGGAGCCAAAAAGCACCTGAGACAAGCAAACAGCAGGCAGCGCTGAGGCGAATCCCCCAGAAAGCGAGAGAAACAGATTCTGCCCGGCCGGTGTGGCTCAGTGGTTGAGCGTCCACCTAGGAACCAGGAGGTCAGGGTTCGATTCCCGGTCAGGGCACATGCCCGGGTTGCAGGCTCCATCCCCGGTGTGGGGCGTGTAGGAGGCAGCCGATCCATGATTCTCTCTCACCATTGGTGTTTCTCTCTCTCTCTCCTCCTCTCCCTTCCTCTCTGAAATCAATAAAAATAAAAAAAATTAAAAAAACACACACAACGGGACTCAGTTTAGCAGCAAGGCACTGGATTATCCGAGAAAAAATGGGGGAGTCAGGGCCCCCACTAGAACTCAGGAGCCAAAAAGCACCTGAGACAAGCAAACAGCAGGCAGCGCTGAGGCGAATCCCCCAGAAAGCGAGAGAAACAGATTCTGCCCGGCCGGTGTGGCTCAGTGGTTGAGCGTCCACCTAGGAACCAGGAGGTCAGGGTTCGATTCCCGGTCAGGGCACATGCCCGGGTTGCAGGCTCCATCCCCGGTGTGGGGCGTGTAGGAGGCAGCCGATCCATGATTCTCTCTCATCATTGATGTTTCTCTCTCTCTCTCTCTCTCTCTCTCTCTCTCTCTCTCTCTCCCTCTCTGAAATCAGTAAAAATATTTTTTAAAAAAAGAAGAGAGAGAGAACCAGGTCATCCAAGAGGAGCCGCCCGGTCCCTCCCGGCACATGGCAGGCCTCCGGCAAATAACTTGCACCGAGTAACCATCGGCGGCCACGGGCCAAGCCTCGGCTTTGAAGACGGTCTCCCTCCGTCTCCCCCATCCCGGGCCTCGCATCCTGAGACAAGGAGAGCGGGGAGCTGCCACCCAGGCTCGCCCTCCCTGCCAGCTGGGAGCTGGAGGCGGTGGTGGTGACAGGGCCCTGGGTAGCAACGGCCGTGGGAATGACCCCGGGAACCCCGTCTTTCACAATCCCGGGCCCGCTTGGCCGGCTCGGCCCGGGGATTACAGACTGTTCTCTGCTCAAGGGGGAACATGTCTCTTCCCCACCATAAATCTCCCACAAAGTAGGTGCTGCGCCGGCCCCCGGGGTGACGGCCAAGAGCCGGAGGGCACGCCCAGCCT